TTTTTTTATTGCAAATTTAAACTTGGAAAAATAAAATTGAACACAAACATAATTTATAAAGTTTTAGAATGTTTTAAAAAAGCGTGAATTTAAAGTAAAAAAAAATTGAATCATAAAACAAAATTATCGCGACGACGCAAAATTAAAATTTATATTTGGAACAATTGTAAACAATTCTTAGGATGGCTTACTTTTTTCTCCGTTGATGATCAACTGAAGTCTCAAATGTTTCATCCAAACAAGAAATTTACATATTTGCAAATTTGTTTGTGTGGTGTTTGTGGGTGTGTGTGTTTGTTTGTGTGTGTGTTTGTGTTATTTGGGTATGTGTGTTTGTCTGTGCAGGTGTTTAAGTCAATGAGTGAGTTACGCGTTACGAAATTGGAAATCACCTTCTTGGACAAAAAAAGCCGAACTTGAGGCTAAAAATTCTTGCGTAGTTTGCAAAAAATTGTGGCAAAAGGACGTTTGTAAGATTTGGTGGTGGAGGTTTCCAACATACAGAACTGGACATTGATGTTAGCAATTAATTTTATTTCAATCACCGTGTTTAGGATTATTCAGCTGGGTTATTCATCTCAATATCCAGACGTACATTCAATTAGTGCTCCTCATCTGTCTCCTTCACGACTACGTTTTTAGCTGATAGTCACAACTTAATTTAATTTTCTCAGGTTTTTCAAGTCTAATTTTAAATTAAATAGCCATTGTTATTTTAAATTTAATACTATTGATATTCTAATATATTTAAAATGGAAAATTCAATCCTTGCATTAATATTCTAACAAAGTCATTATTTCAGCATATTTTTCCGCAAAATTGAATCATAAAACAAAAAATGTCTTTTTTCAAAGAAATTTTCATCAACTTTAAAATTTGAATTTTTAACATTCATATCAGTAACTTGCCTTAAAACTTGTTTTATAATTCAAAAACCTTTAATAGGCATCGGACCGCAGCTGATGAATTAATAAAATACGACGCGGTCAAATTGGGCGACGTGCCGGTGTAATGGTTATGGCGCCTGTCATTGCTGTTGCACTGACTTGCATCGATTGCAAAGAGAACTCCGCCTATCACATGCGAAGGTAGTCGATGCCTTGATCACTGTATTCAAAATACATACACCGTGTGTTTGTCTCAGATGCCTCTGAGGAATGCTGAAAGGTCAAGGTCATCAAATCAATCCTCCACCGGACAATTGCAGATGTCCAACTGAATAAACATTCTCGAAAGTTGCTGATGTTTTGATGAATTTTTTTTTTGTCTCTCAAATTTTTACTTTTAAATTTTCAGCATTACTAACATGGAGATGTGCATGAACATTCAAAATTTAAGTGAAGCAAAGAGAAAAATTTTTTAAATATTCAAAGCGGTTTAAAACATTTGGTAGATAATTTTTACTGATTACACCAGCATTAGTATTCACTTCACATTCAATACCTAACTTTTTATAAATAAATCTATGGTAAATTTTCTCAAAAAACATTTGCCGTTTTTAGCTATTTGATTAAAATAATAATAGTAAATTTGTTGGTCCCTAACATAATTTTTTGCTTGAGGAGAGAATTTCAGGCTTTCAATTGTTTAAAACAAAAACAAACAAACAAACAAACAGATTTCTTTGAAAAATTATAATCAACTTTTAAAAATATTATCTTTTCATCTGTTAAAATGCAAGTTGTCACACAAAAATATGATTCCATTTTTTCAACACTTTTGATTGAGCAACAACGCGAATCAAAGATTTTTTTAGGCTTAATGAAACAACTGATGAAAATGGTATTTTCCGAATTGCGTATGTAGACACATGAAGACGCATTACAGTGGTCTTCGTCGTCGTAAGCAATGGAAATTAATTTTAAATTTTTAACTCATGAGAGGACGAAGAAGAACCGCGGGTATTGCAATCAAAAAATCGTATAGTTCGGAGACGTCTAAACACGTTCGGACGAAAACTAAATAAATAAAGCCAAAAAGAAACTGAGATATAAAACTTGAACATTCAACCCGCGGCATAAAAATAGAAAATATTAGATAGAACTTTGATAAAAGTAGAAAACATCAACATAGTTTGGGTATGACTGGCAAAATAAATAATTTTTTATTAGCTTTGGCACTATTGTCATGCAAAGAATTAACAGTAACAAGCAACGAGGAATATTATACAAATAAAAACCAAATCTAATATAAGCTTTGCACAAAATGATTAATTGGGTAAATTAACAAAAAGCATGTTTGTGGGGAAGTTTTATTGGCTGGCTCGCTTCCTGCCCATGCATCTCCTTCTTTGATAATATTCATTGTTGGATGTGGGTTTTCATTTGTATTATATTCCTCGTTGGATGGGTGGAGAATGGTGTTACACTTTTCAAATTTAACCTACATTACTTTTAATCAATTAGCTAACAAAGCAAAAAACAATTCTTTTTTTGTTTAAATGTAAGTACTTCAATTATAATTTTTATATCAAATTATGATAAAAATTATAGAATAACATGCTTTAAAATAAGCAACAAATAAAAAGTTGATTTTCTGTTAATGAATATGTAAATGTGTTACAAACCTCGTCAATGATTCTATCATCATTTTATCCCAACAATTCAACCATTAAAATATATTATTTAATTTTCAAAATTGAAAAAATTTAAAAATGTTTAAAAATTCTACACTTTATCAGCAAAAAAAAAAAAAATTCTCGTTCTGTTTGGCGGAAAAATATTTCAGAAGAAGAACAGGAAATGTGTGGCGGAAAAGACTGGCGAACAAGGGTGCATCATTTGACGTCCTATAAACTTAATTCTCATACAAAGCCGGCCTTATACAACGGACGTTGTGCTTCTCACAACAATGACAACCGAGATGAGAAAATTAAAATTGGTTCATGTATGCCTGCATGTACCAACGCATCTCCACGGTGATGCTGTTTAATATAGTTCAATTTTTGTAATTGTTCGTTAGTTTCAATTCTGTCTATTCTTTTAACCTAACGAACGCATAATTTACTGAGTCACTAATTAGCCAATTATTTAATCTATTTAATCGGTTTTTAAATCATTATTTTATTTCCGGTGCTTATATATTCTTAAACATTCTTACCCCGTTATTTTTTCCATTATCATTTTGTACTACTGCCTTGCATCTTGTAACAGTTTCTGCCTTTTTCGGATTCTGATTTTCTAAAGAATAATAAAAAATAGTTTTAGAGTATTTTATTTTTTTAATTTGTTGTCCAAGAGTGTGACACATCAGAACTGTGCCTCTCAGCAAAATTTATCATACTATGATTCAATTCATGTTGTTTCAACTTATCGAAGATGTGCACCAATTTCCATCGCTTTTCAACTTTTGAGATTGAATAGTGTTATATCACATTTGAAAAAGTATCAGAACACACCTCGAATTGTTTTTCTTTACATATCTAAATTGTGTATAACCTACAAGTTTGTAATACGGTTTCAAATTAGTTGCTTGCGATTAGCTTAAAGATAACATTTTGTTTATTTGTCTTTATTAATTTTCATTTATTTAATTATTTTTTTAATAGATTGTGCTATAACTTGACTAAATTAATGACGAGATTGTTCAGTTACTATTACTGAAACACATCAGCACGTGCTAATTTCGTTGAAATAATTGCATGCCCCATCCAAGCTGACGTTTACCGTGAAATTTCAAAATTTTCATTGCAAATTTAGAAATTGAAATAATTTATAAAATAATATTGTGAAATTCAGCCTATGGAATTTATTTCTAAATTTCTGAAAAAAATGTTTTGAATTCTTAAAATTGCATTGTGCGTGTAATTATTCATACCGGCGCCTGCGTGCTGCATAATAATTTTAAAAAAAGGATATACCTGTTTTTAAATAGTTCCAAGAATTGAAATATAATATTCTTCAGAAAATATTTTTATACGTAAAATAAATAGAAGCTGTTGACAATTTAACGACCCACATAATTTAACCTAGGTAACTTTTTTTTAGATTTATTCAACCGCTGTCGTAACAAAATGTCTCATTTATTCTTCATATTTTTAACGATTTTAAATTTTCGTGGTTATTTAAAAACATTTTTAACAACTTTTACATAATTATTTAAAAAAAATAAAACCGTTGAAACAATAGTAAAAAAATATGTTATTATTTATAAATAAATTGAAAAACAAAAATATTTTTCTCTGTTATCATTTGAAACAATTGCAGCATGAAATTTATCTGGCACTCGTTTTTATCTTTTTATTTCTGTTCTCACATGCTTCCAAATTTATTGCACGTTTTAATGTCGTTTATTTTTAACGTCCTTCTTTTGAGGAAATCATCAAAATTTCATTTCGTCTGAAAGTTGGTTGCACAAATATTAGTTTTAAGCTAGAAAGCTAAAGTATTATTTTCTTATTTGTTAGGTATCATTGCCAAACAGTGAAATAAAATTATCGCAACCTTTTCAAGAGTTTGTAGAGTTTTTTTTTTAATACAAATCTGTGTAATGTTTCAACATTGAATGATTTCATTTCAAGTTGTTTCACACTTTGATGAAACTTGTGGGAAGCATATGAATGTAAAATTGTAAAATTGGATCACTTAGCTGAGAGCATTCAATCGGAGAGCAACTTCTAGCTCTGCGTGCCTGGCATGAAACTGTTCGATTGTTGGTAACATTCATCAGAAAAAATTTTCACCCGCGAATTTGCTGGAAAGTTGGAAATGTTAGGATGAGTTCTTAACTTGTCAGGCGTCTTCATCTTCATGCCCAGTCCTTCCATCAGGTACGAACATTATTGTCACTAATGAAACACAACGTGTACGGAAATATGTGTTGATTGGCCTTTGTCATTGTAGAGGTAATTTTTTTTAAATTTTTAAGTGAAAATCATTTAAAAAATTTACTGTAAAACAAAAAGTTTTCAAATTTCATGGTTGATAGCTGCTATACCTAATGACATGCAATTGTTAGAAACTAAACTATCAATCAGAAAGATTGGCTTCAATCAATTAAAAATGCATCAATCAAACTCCGTAGAACCCTCAAAACTTCAGCTTGCATTCTCCAATGCCGCATGTTGTTGCGGGTTATCATTGAACGATGCACTCAGAACGCTGGTCTGGTCACTGTCATTAAAAAGTAATTTGGTTGGCTATGCATTTTTTGTTTATGCATAATTATAAATTTACATTATACATTTTATTTTGAGAAGTTATGAATAATCACAGATATCTCTGCATACTATTTTTACAAATGTTGATACAAGTGCTATAGAGAAAATTACTAAACAAATTAGCTGATCAGACCAGTCACTACAACTGCACGGTTGTCCAAGTGGAGTTCTCATTAAGCAGAAGTTAGCAAGTTTCTTTTTATTTGTTTTCTAGCAAATGATTATTGAAAGGAAATAAACTATTTTAAATAAATTTTTCAATTCGATATGAAAACTTAGACAGCATTTTAAAATAACATATCAATTTTTATCCAGTTATTCCACATCTTGAGGCACGTAAAAATACATTACATTACATCGATACATTGTACACAAAGTGACATCATTCATGGTGAAGAATCTTCAACTCTTGAGAGCTGTGCTCTGATTTAATTATCTAATTATTACATTTGTTAATTATATTAAACGCATTATTTTTTGACTGTTTGTAGAATTTTTTTTATATCATTGCTTTGACGAACGCAGGTATGTTCACATTTAATTGCTTTTATTTATTCATAATTTGCAATCGTCTATTGTTCGCGCAAATTCACGAACATTACATTCGACCAATGAATTATACTTACCCTACCCACATTGTGTTATCAAAAGACTCGGTCAGCAAATTAAACTCGGAGATTTTCACACGATGCACATAAGTACACTATTAACAGAGCAGACTATGCTCAGTTAAACAATGTTTACGGTGGGCCGAACAAAGTAGTAGGCTGTCGCCATGAAAGGCATTTCGTGGGATTGTGACGTTCAGTTTGAAATGAAAACAATGTAACGATGTGGCACAGCGCTGGTGTGCAAATTGCATGCTATCTTCAAGCTGAACTTTCCGCTAACCAAATCAGATGTGGCTTCCCCCGTCAGAATTATGCAATGCATTGAATACACGCCCTAACGCGCTATTACATAAATTCTCCCTCACGCACACAGATTCATTTAAATTTGCACGTGCGTGTGTTTGTTTGTTTGTGTGCCTGTATAATTAATTAAATGAAAACAGAAATTAGAAATATTACCAAATATTCATCAATTGAACTTTAAAAATAAAAAAAATTTACCAGCTCCTCATGAAATATTATATGCAAATGCAAACATTTCAATTGTCCAACGCGCATGAATGTTTTGTCTGCTTGGAATCAGGCGGTTCTCACGTGTTTAGCTCCAAGAAGCCAGAACCTTGGCTTTTTTGGAACGTCATAGAGATAGAGTGACCGCGTTCTTTTGTGCATCCAAACGAGAATATGCAACGGCAGACGGGTTACTTGAACTTACAGGACCTGAGCAAAGTGAGATGTATTACAACACAATGACCGCATTCAGAAACAAAAGACAAGACACAATGACGCGCCACATGGCCGTTGAAAAGAGGACTCATGCACCAAAATGACAAACAAGTATGTTAAAGACAGAGCAGGTGGTTCATTCATTCCGTGGAGAAAGTCGTTTCGTATTTTATCCAATTATATAATTTAAATAAAAAAAGTGCTTGTCATGTTGTTCATTGTTCATTGGAGATTGTGATGTATGTTTAATTGTTCATACGTGTTTGTAGTTTTTGTTCAATTGTTTATAAGTGTTTGTGATGTTTGTTCGATTGTTTACATTATTTTAATTTCATTAACAAGTTGGTGAGTGGCATTGTTACGGGTGCTTGTTTATTTTGTGAGCTTCCTTCGTGACAAGTTACAAAATATTTCCATCCAAATTAAATATTCCGATTACAAATGCATCAAAATGTCAGTTGAAATAATGTTGTCTTCTAAAAGGAAAAAAAATAAGAAATCTTGAATATTAGAGCCAACGTTTGTTTATGGCGAGCGGTGTTTATTCGTTGTTATGCACCTCTGACGGTGGACGGTGCATGCTCAAAACAGAACATTTGCTTTATGTGCTCTGGAGATCATGCCAACATGTGCGATCGAACGCTAAATATTCCTGAACGCTAAAATATATATGATGCTAAAAAACTGAATTAACTTTTTTTATTTAAAATTAAAAAGTCCGAAAAATTGTTTGTATCGTCTTAACAAAATTTGATGAATCTTTTCATGTTTATTACAAAAAACCATTGTTATTTTACTCAATATGATTCAATTAATTTTTTTAAAAAAAAGTTTGCAACTTGCTTATTTATTTATTAATTTCAATTTAATTATCAAATTCACTCTAAAATAGTTTTCGAAAGTTAATTTATTTATTCCAACTTTAAACTTTGTAGCTTAAATGCGGTTGATTTCAAAAGCGTTTACGAGAATACCACAAACTAAAATACAATTAATTAATTATTACAAATCAATACTTATAATTTCAATTAGAATGTAAAACGTTCGTGGTTTGTTAACCGTAAGAACAATTTCATCTTTCTTGATGTTAGAAGTTTTGGTAGATTCAAAAACAGTCATTTTACACCGATATTGAAACATCCATTAAATTGTTGTTTGTTGTTAACGTTTCTAACGATAATAGCGTTCTTGTGTGGTGTTATTTTGTGAGTCTACGTAAATATACATCTGCTACATTTTAAAAACATCAACTTCTATCTCTTTAACGAGTTATTTTTATACGGATTTAGGAATCATGTTGGCAAGTTCACTGTCATTGTCAGCACTTGGATGTGTTTTATATATATATATATATAAATATATAAATATATATATATATATATATATATATATATATATTTATATATCATTCTTATCACTTGTGTGTGTGTGTATATATATATATATAAATATTTTTTTTAATCGTCATATACGTAGATATATATATATATTCTTAAACAAGTGTTTGTGTGATCAGATGTGCGTGCATTCATTATACAATTAAGTTTTTAAAAATCATTGCTGAATGAAAGTTGTTGTAGAGGTTGTAGGTGATGGTGGTCAACTTGAAGATAACTAATATTAAAAAACACGCTTGAATAATATTTTGCAATTGCATCCATCTAAATGTAGAATTTTAATTACTTCAATGGATAAAAATATTTAATAAAATTAAATAAAATCAGTTTCTTTTGGAATAAGAATGCTGCTTGCGCAGAAGATGAATAGCAACAAAGTAATATTTTTGTTTATCATCTGTTCCTTTCTAAGAAGTACCGCGCTGGTTAAGAAAATATTATTTATTTTTTTAATGCATTTGTAAAATTCAAAATATTTTTCTAGTGTGAACCTCTCAATCAATCAATATTTTTTTTCATTATAATTGAACAGATTTGTTTCCTTATTCAATATAAAATTTCAATATTTCACGAAAATTCAAAACAAATTAAAAAAAAATATTTCTTTTTATACTTGGCACTTTAAAAGGCACTACACCATTATGTCCCCTCGCACCATCCGACCTTCCTCCTCCTACACATTCACCATCAACTTTAAAGCTCCACAAAACTGCAGCTCCAGAGATGCCAGAGTGAGGGCCTCCATCATCTACTGGTACTCCAACAAGGTCAATGGTGCAAAGGTTATGGTCAGCAGGAATGTTTCTGTCCAGTCAGGTGATTCTGAACTTATTCAACATATGTGGTCTTTTTTAAAAAAATTTAAACCTTATTTTCCGTAATGATTTTTTGATAAATAATTATTTAATTGTTAAGAGTAATTCGCGGTGATTTATGTAAGGAAAAAATATTTTAAAATAATTTACATCAAATTAAGTTTTTCTCATTCGAATTATTATTTCTCGACAATAAATTTTCTATCAATAATAATTAGCAACTTTTAATTTGATGCAGAGGTACCAAAGTTGTTTCACATGCAGGTAGTGTTAGTTAGTTGGATCTTTCATGTAGAGTAATTTCTAACTTATTTATCATTAACGACAAATTAATGAAAATTTTGAAAAATTACATATGAGACTTTAAAACAATATAACAATCGAAAGAAATGCTTAGTCGATAAAAAACAGAAGATTTCAAGAATTATTTTTTTTTTAAATCAACGGTTATATACATTTTTATTTACCAATCCACTTTTCATAAAAGATGTGTGAAAATATGTTTCCAAAAATTAATGATGGGTAATAATTCAAAGATGCCAAGTTCGACAGCACTATTGAACGCCAGGTACAACTTCAACTTTTCGCTGAAATAAAGTTCAATGAAGAATCTTTCAACCATTCGAGCAGTCTTGTTGTGAACAGAAAAGTTACTTCAATGTTTATTCTAACGGACAAAAAGATCTACAAGCCAGGGCAATTAGGTAGATCTTTATTTAATCATTTGATGACATTTTATTGTCTTTCTAAGATTATTGACCTTAAAATGGCAAATTTTTTAAATGACAGTTAAGTTAATGACTTTCAGCTTTTCGCTTTCCTGAGCAAAAACTTACTACTTTCAAAAGTTCAATCAGGTTTTTTTCGATCATATTTAACTGAGACAGCAATCTTGAAGGTGGTTTCAGATGTCTGTAACGCCATTGATGCTGGTAACATATCATTGCTGGCACTTCTCGATGTAAGTGCTGCTTTCGAGACAGTTACCTCCAGATTTTATTGAAGCGTCTTTCTACTTCATTTGATATTGGTGGAGATGCTATCAGGTGGTTCCAGTCCTATCTAACAGACAGGTCTCAAGTTGTCAACGTTGATGGGAGTGGTCTGAGCAAAGCTTTTTCAGAGTTGATTTTTGATGTACCACAAGGCTCTGTGCTTGTTCTCTGCTATACATCATGTACACTGCAGATATCGTCAATGTCGTCGAAGCAGCCGATCTTAGATGCCACCTATACGCTGATGATATTCAATTTTACGGATTTGAACTACCTGACTCATCAATTCAAGCTTCCTCCGCTGTGTCATATGCACTGAATTTAGTTGGTTGCGGGATGTCATCAAACAAGCTTAAACTCAATGTCAGGAAAACTCATTATTCGTGAAACGCCGCATGGCCTCAGCCGTTTAAATGACTCCAAAGTAACGAGTTGTATTAGATCCTCATCTTTCATTTGGAAAACATGTTAGTCAACTTTGCCAGCAAGGTTTCTACCAACTTCACAGAATAAGATAGATCAGACGTTTTTTTGAAAGTTTAGTCAACAAAAACACTTGTTTTTAGTTTTATCTACGGAAGAATTGACTACTGCGATGCGATTAAGCTTGTTGCCAACTTATCCAGTCCCTTCAGAACACCGCAGTGAGACTTGTTGCTGGTTATTAGAAATTCGATCCAATGTCATCATCATCAGTGATGATCTACACTGACTCCGCATGCCTGAAAAAATTGTTTTCAAACTAGCTTTTCAAGTCAGAGAATGTCTTGCTGGTGACGCTCCAACTTTTTTTGAAAGAACAACTACAATTAATTTCAAAAATTGCTGATTGAAGTCGGCTGAGATCCTCCGATAATTGTGATCTTGTGCTAACTAAATTCAATTCGTCTCATTTTGAGAAGAGAAGAATTTCTGCTTCATCTGCAAAAATCTGGAACTATTTAATTACAACTCATGCACTGTTTTGTTTCGTGAGACATTTCATAAATTGCCTAAATTGCCAATATTAATAATTGTTCTCAATAAATAAACATGCTATGATAAAGAAAAGTTGTTCTTTGAAATTTTTAAATATTTCGTTTTTTTTAAGTTTTTATTTGTAATATTTTTGTTGTTGAATTATTTGATAGTTTTCTATTTTAATTTTCAGATATTTAAACTACGGCTCACGTGAATACATGCGAATCAACGCATTGTGCATTAGCGCCTGAGAGGAAATGACGTTTTGTATTGAAAACGATCATTGCATTACTGTTGCTTACCATTGTATTAAAACTCCTAAATGTATCCTAATTTTTCTAATTTAAAAACATTCATTCAGTTCGCTACAGAGTGCTGATGCTGAATGACAATTTGAAGCCGTATAGAAAGCCGTTCAACCTTAGCATTGAAGTAATAGTTGTTCAATTGCTATGAATTATTTTTATGTTTCCCATTTCCACCTACATGACACCGATTTATATATTTGCATCTAACATCTACGATGTTTTGAAATATATTAACTCTTATAATCGAAAACAACAATTCACAACAAAGTTGTTTTGATTGATTAATGAAGGCCGGGCATAGGAAATGGCATTGTGTTGTCTCTTTGAATGAAACAGTTCGTTGGATGGTCGGTCGTAACAGTGTTGCCTGATTCAAGCAGGAATGTCTGCGGTTTTTAACATGACAAAAAAAATCTAATTATATCGCTGATGCATAAAAGTTTTAATCTTGTTTCCAGGACCCACGTAGCAATCTCATCGTGCAGAGGACTAATGTTCATCTCACCAAAGGTTAGAAATTATTTCAATTGTATTCTAAGAATATTTTCTATTTCTTTTCTTTCACAGTTAAATTTGAATAAAAAAAGTTATTATAAGTACAAATTTCTCAAAAGAGCTAAAAAACGACAAAATAAAAAAATTGTAGCTTAATTTGATTTTAAAAAAGTAAACTACGCTTTTAAAATACTACCAGGTGTTTTCAGTGGGCAACTTCAACTTTCCAAAGTTACTCCTCTCGGTTTTTGGACCATTAATGTGCAAACAAAAGTATCTTTTTCAATAATTTTTCATTTAAATTCTTACTTAACTTATGCAAAATTTCGTTATAGGAAGAAGAACAGTCAGAGAATTTTGAAGTTGCTGAATATGGTACACTTTGAAAGTTGTTATTGTTGAGATAATAAAAAAAATATCTTGCGAAAAACGATTGCAGATATTATTTTATTGGTTACATCAACACACAGAGTCTAGGGCACTATGCGCCTTTAACCATTGAACTATCTCGACGTTATTGCCGATTAATTATTTTAAACTCTTTCTCCAGTACCTCCAAAATACGAGGTAGAGGTGGAGCTTCAAAACGTTATCAGGTTCCAGCAAATGTCGACGACGAGACTGACAATTCAACAAAAAACCAAAACAGTCTTAAAATCGCTGTTACTGCAAAGTTTGTTAATTTTTACAAACAGCTTCCATCAAAATCTTTAAGAAAAAAATTGTAAATAAAATATCTAAATCTACACTTTTTTCAGATACACCCACGGCAAGCCAGTGCAAGGAGTTGTGTTGATGGTTCTCAAACTAAAACTGCCAGGAATGGAAAACGTTCCAACCATCTACAAATTTCTTCAGGTGTCATGGATGTTTATCAACTTTTTTAGTCTCATAATCTCTGCCATATTTTCGCGTTGTTAGATAAATGTTTTCGAACTAAATTTTGACTAAATTTTATAAATTTTGAATTGCTTTAATTAAATAACTTTTTTTATTATATTATAAAATTTAAACATAAATTTGTTTTGTTGAATATTGTTTAACTTAATTTAATTAACGTGCAATAAAATTTTAAGTTTTAAATATTATTAGACTTATTTGATATTTTAATAAAAATAAGTTAACTGACGGCAAAGCTGATGTGTCGGTTTCGTACAAGGATCTGTTGAACCTCTTTCCATGCTCTGATTCGTTCAACCATCTCTTGTACCAGACCATCGAAGTGGAGGCTTTCATATCTGAGCAGGTCTCAGGCAAAGTTTTGAAAGCAAGCAGCTCGGTGGCATGCACCTACCAGCAATACGACTTACAGTTCTACAGAACTTCCACCTCTTATAAACCTGGATTTTCTTTTAATGCATTTGTTAGTTAAAATAATATTTCTAATTTGAAAATGCAAGCAATGTTAAAAATATGAGTGCATTGAAGTTTAATAAAAATTAATGTTTTTAAAGCGTGATTATTTATTTGTTCACCTTAAAACACCAGGTCAAGTTGACTAACCCAGATTTACCACAACCTCTGATTAATGATATTCAATATACCAACGGCACTTACAAAAACATTTCAGTCAGAGCATTGTTTCTACTCAGAAATTATTCTTCTAGCTTTGAAAAAGTTCTTAACGCACAATTTGATAAATATGGCAAAGTCTCGCTCTTGCTGTTTGGTGATGAGAACATTAGAAGTTTTACTCTGAACGTATGTTTCAAAAATTATTACTTTAAGTTTCTAACTTTAATAAATTATATTGTTTTAACAAATTGAAGGCAATGTATAAAGATGAAATGCTGGATTTATACATGTTTGCAACTCTCTATGCTTCCGATTTCAACAACAGAGATCGGCAATTTTTGAAACTCTCCACTAAAAGTGTCGATGACGTTCTTCAGGTCAGTACCTTCTCAAAGGAGAATATTCATATCGTCTTTTACCTTGCTTATATCTACCCTATATCAACTTCATCTTGTTACGGAGTATGTGATAATTTCTCATTGTCTGAATAAAGCTGATATTTGGTGTACCAAACAAATGGAATATGAAAAATTAATAAATTAAGATAAGTTAACCACAGTTTCTCAAGCTAATTAATTATGATAATGTTCTTTCAAATCATTACGTTCTAACACTATAATTTGAAAATTTATACTTAATTGAGTTTTAATTGCTTATGTAATGTTGACGTTTCAAAGTTTAAAGTGTTTTTTTAATCGTGCAACTAGCTAGTGAAAATTAATAAGTGCTATAATAAATTAACTAAGCATTTTAACCACTCAACTTGTTTTACTTGAAAAAAATCTTTTTCGTTTTCGAATCGATTCCAGCCAGGCAGGAACACAACATTTCTTGTAAGATCAACCGAACCCATCAAGTCATTCTTTTACCAAGTAGCCATAAAATTTTTTATGATAGAAATGTTCAATTTTTTTGAAATTTGTTCATCTCACATAATTTTTTCTAAGCTTTAGGAAAAATACAGGTCACGTTGTATTTTCAGTTAAAAGATAAAATAAATGGAAATAAAATATTAGATATTTAGTAAATTACTGGTTTATAACAAACTTCATAGAAAGTGACGAAGCCTTATATACGCACCAGTTTACGATAACTCTCTCCAAACAACTAGCATTGGAACTGGCTCCTCGCGTCAAGATTCTTACCTACTACGTTAGCACCAAGGATGAAGTGGTGGCAGATGCCATGACTGTTAACGTCGAAGATTACCTCGTTAACAAGGTTGCTTTGTTGGATTTTCGTTGAAAAAATAATTTAGTATTTTTGCCATATTACAATTTCAACAATGGTGGCTCATTTTTCAAAATTTAAAAAATTTTGATAAAGCCTTTGATATATTTTCACAGATTTTTTGGCCAAAAAAACAAATCAGCAAATGATCTTTAACATTTTAAAACAGTTTTAAAAACGGTTTTTTAATACCATAATATAAACCGTTATTCAGGTGAACATAACATTTGATAAAAACGCTACGAGTCCTTCCCAGCGAATTATTTTGAATGTTGAGGCCGAGAAAGATTCAGTTGTTTTTCTAACTGCCGTCGACAAAAGCGTTTTGCTGCAGCAAACTCCGATCAAACTCACCAAAATGGTTTATTTTTTTCATATTTTCATTCAATTCAAAAATAATTTGTTTGAATATGCTAGTAAATTTAAAAATAGAGATTAAAAAATGTTATTTTGTCTCAAATAAATTAAAGGTTGATTGTAGGTTGAATTGGAATGTAGATCGCTCAGGTTTGAGACAAACAGGCAAAAAGTTATTAACTGTAAGGCTTGACAATTATGCATATACCAAAGTTTCAAAACTACATGAAAATTAAAAAAATAAAACATTACTAAAATGTGTAACCAGCAAACTCTAGGCAGGTATCAGCAAATTTGGACAAATATGAATCGGCGAGTTCCTACTGGTATGACTACCATTCCGACATCGAATATGGTTTGTCGTCACACTTCAAAGGCACTGAAGAGTTATTTGACGTTTGTTCAAACTTTAATTTACAGAATTTTCTATTCCCAAGAAGTCATTTTTGAAATATTTGTTTTTTATCTTGCACCGTCAATTTTCAGCTATTGAAAAACATATGCAGAGCCTTAATCTGATAGCATTTTCAAGCAGTTTGATCTACAAACACGTTTATTCCTACGAAGAAAGTTATGGCGATGTTGGAAGTAATAAGCGGTTCTGTTGTTCATTTGAAATTATATTTATCAGATTTTTGTTCAAAAAGTATTTATAAAAACAGCAACATTTTTATATAAAAGTTAAAATGTTAATAAGTTGTGTGGAATATTAACTTTATTTATGAATTTACGGTACAAAAACTTTACAAAATGCAAAAATACCATTTACTTCATTCATTCGCCACATTAGAAGCAGCAAGCCCCTTCAACACTGACAACTCAGATGGCACCAACATTCGAAAATATTTCCCAGAAACCTGGATTTGGACTGATTTCGTAGTGGGGTGCTTATTTGTTTTATTCAGTTTTCATGTGATGAGTGTTTAAAAAAAAGGTTTTATAAACATCTTTGAGTGCGTTTTTTGGCACAATTATTAATTTCTGCTATTTAATATTCAACGCTAGAAATGTCACTGTATTCACAAATCATATGTTTTGTACTCAGCAAACTTAATATTATAATAAGCGCTCATAAGAAACCATCAGCTATCATCATGGCCAAACTTCTGTTGATATTAATGCTGAAATTCGGTTTTCTGAATTTTACGATTTTGGGCCACAAACATTCATTAGTAATTAAGTTGGAATAATTAGTACTAATTCAAAATCGAATTGAGGGCACCAGGTCTGATTTCGTTCACTATTTTGAGAGCGCAACTTTAACGTTGGCCGATCGGAAGCTGTTGTACACTTGTCTGGATTCACAAAATGGTTTCATGTTTGTACAGCGAATCCGGCGTTTTATCATTATTCATAACTACATTCAAAAGATACTGAACTTCAAAAGTTTTACCAAACTCATCTGAAAATTCTTACGTAATCACAATACACAGAAACGTGTTGATGATTCCCACAAGTTTGTTTTTTATTTGCATTCCGAGTATACTTAAATAATTTATGATGACTTGTGGAAAAATTAAGTTAGTATAAATATTATATTTAAATTAAATAAAAAAATTAATAATATGTGTGACCGTGTAAGATACCAGGAAATGGTGTGGGGGGTGTGTACTTCTGGATTACACCAACCACCCTGGGAAAGGTCCGTCTGCGAGTCAGTGCTCATGCTGGTTTCGTTGATGATGCCGTCGAAGAAGTCATTCTCGTTAAAGTTTGTTTGTTGTTTGAGTTCAAGATGGCTAATAAAAGTTATAAAAATATAAAAAAAATACTTGGATAAGTGCGACTTTCTTGAAAATGAACTTATTGTAGATGTTATGTTATGAAATGTTATGAGTTATGTTATGTTCTAAAAAGCTCTGAGTGTGTTTTATTACCACACTGTTCACGCTTTTTTAGTTTTTTGATAAAATTAGCCTGAAGGTGTGACGAAAGAATATGACACTACCTATTACTAGGAACCAGCACATGCAAATCTTCAATCAGTTGACATACCTATAAAATTACCGGTTGATTACGTTGATGGTTCTGTGTTATACAAGTGTCTGCCGTAGGTTAGAAATTTTTTTTTATCAAATGTCAAATGTTAGGGACTGTCCATGAAGGTTGTCACGTATAAAAAGTTTGTGACAATTTGTAAAAAATGGAGGAGGTCAAAGCCCATGTGGCATCCCGTTTTGCTTTGCACATTTCTCATTTTTCAAGGGAATTGATAAATTTGTCGTTAGCATATTTTTACTATAAAAAGGTTATAAAAATTTATGTGTTCGTTATGCCACAGAGGTATATATCTCTTCATCTCATTCATGACGTGTTAATTAAAGTTCAGGTACGCTATTAGGTGTACCTGAACTTTCAACTTTCATGCGTTCTTCGTGATGCTGACTGATAATTTGCTAAAAAAAACATTATAAATTGTCAGCAACCAAGTAGTGACATTCTAGATGGGGCGGTCAAAATTTTGTGGCATGCTTTAACTGGGAGAGGTATACGAATTTGTGAGAGATTAACAAAACACAAAAAAGCCTGATATCTTTTATGGGCAAGCCCTTTGTTTAATTCTAAACGTAAATTGTACTAGATCCATGATTAGTGATTGCCTGTTAATTTCCAGAATTGTGTATTTTATTAGCAGCAGCATATGAGTTTTGAAAGCCGCTCGATATTTAGAAAGAGAGTTGGTGCAATGCGACAACGACCCGTATGTGCTTGGAGTTGTAGCGTACGCCTTCTACTGCGTTGGCAGCCACAAGTTGGATCATGTTCTCGATGCATTGTACAAGTTCGCCTTAATCGATGGTGACAGTTTAATTGTTCATAAAAAAAATTAATCAATCTTCTATCGGTTGACCAAATTTCCTGCAATCCATCAGACGAGAAAACCCACTGGAAGCAGCCGATGCCGCACGATCAGGAAGAAGATGCCTGGTTGCTGAAGGAGTTTGCAAGCCCCTACGACATCGAGTTGACCTCCTACGTGCTCCTCTTGCGGGCCAGCCAGAAGAATCTAAACCTCTCCCTGCCCATCGCTAGGTGGCTCATCGGGCAGATGAGTGGCATCGGAGGGTTTGTCTCGACACAGGTGGTTCTTTTTTTAAAAATGTTCAATTGTTGCATATCTTCCGTAGGTGCTTTGAATCTTTTCTCATACTTTTTACTGACGAAACATTTATTGAACAAATTTTTATTTATACATTTTCAATAACATCTACATTGTTAGATGCATAATTTTCTAAAAGGATACGGTGCTGGCATTGGAAGCCCTTACAAAATTTGCTCCACTTGTTTCATTCGTGGAAAAGAGCAAAGGAACTAAAATAAAAATATCGGGAGATGTCAGTGGGGATGTTCATAAACTGCCTGTTGTGAACAAAAATAATCTGCTTCAGTTGCAAACTGTTCAGGTTAGCGCTTATGATTTTAAAATGATCTGTAGTTTTCGGCATTATTTGATTAATTCGTTAATTGTTTCTTTTAATGCAAAAATCGCTTCTAAAAACAAAACTTGAATTAACAAACATTGTTTGGATTAAAATTGTTATTATTTTTCAAATACCATATGAAACACGTTCTTATTAGAATATTTTTTACAAAATCAATTGCTCTTATCACATTTGTTCGCTATTTCCTATTTCCGACCGTCCTATTGTGACTTTGAACATAAAAACCCTTGTCTGTTTTGCTATTCGTTTCATGTAATTAAAATAATAAACTAAACTGTTTTGTTGGCAATATGATAGAATGAAAGCAATAAACACACATGCAACATACACACAATGCAACATACACTACACATGCAACATACACACATGCAACATACACTACACATGCAACATACACAGTTGAACGAGCTCACGAGAAGAATCAATGTATCGGCTGAAGGTGACGGATTCATCTTGCTGCAAGTTGGTCTCACTACTTTAAGCAGCGAGGAAACTTCTGAAAAGAATTTCAAACATTTGTACAAATTTTTATTTCTTCTCCCTTTTATTCCTAACCCATCCGGACATCGGTGAGATACAACATTCTCAGCCCAACAAAAAGCAAGTTGTTTCGTCTTCAATTGAAAGTTGAACTTCGGGAGCTGTTATTAGATTTAACAGTCTCTACCAGGCTAGTGTATTCGAAATTAAATTTCTCTCAACAAATTTCATTTCAATTCATTATCAAATATTTGATGAATATTAATTCACTATAAACTAATGTGTTTGCACTGGGAAGATGACAAACCTACGAAATACTTGCAGTTGGATGGGCAACGAAACAAGTGGCATGGTCATTGTGGAGATTGACATTCCAACTGGTTTTCTGTTGAAAGATCCAGAAGAATACAAAAGAAAACTGCAGTCCTCAGTTTTTCCAAAAGTTGAATTTACTCCGCAAAAGATTGTTGTTTATTTGGCTGAGGTATTTGGTTGGGATGATTGTAACAATGACGTTGCCTATTTTGGTGCATTTTTTTAGAATCGAAACTTTGTTAAACATTTCCAGCGATTACATAATTATTTTTTCAATAATTCTAATACTAACTCTGATAAAAAAAAAGGAAAAAGTAAAGTAACACCAACAAGCTTTATTTTAAATTCTGAAATTTTTAAAGTTATATTCAGCGTCCACTGAGTTCAGAACAACTCTGGAGCAAGTGCTCAGCGTTCATAGCGTGAAACCTGCCCTCGTGCAAGTGTACAGATACTACCAGCCAAGTTATATCAATTATCTCAATTTAATCAACGTCGTCTTTTGATTTTGTTCGATTCATTTTGCAATTCCAACATACATCACTCAAATACAAATTGTTGAAGGGTTTGAAATTTTTATATTGACAGATGAAAGAGTTTCAGAGTTTTATTCGCCCCTCGAAAAAAAGAGTTGGGTGTCCACGTGTCCGCAGTGCTGTTTGTGGTGTGTTTGTTGCTGATTCAACTTCTCATTCTTAACTATAGATTTCTTTGTTTTGATGGATTTTATATTTTTCATCCATTGAAATTGATTTTAAATTTGTTTTTCAATTCTTCTTTCTAAGTATATTATTCTTTTTCTATCATTTTATTTATTTTTACTATCTGGTTTTTACATTTTAATTTTTAGTTACATACGAACAGTATGACTTATTATAGTCTGGTTATTATTTTACATTTGTTTCAGATCAACCAGATGACTGGCCAGTCCAACAACGTTTAAACTTATTTATACCGACTGCCTGGTACAAATTATCATTGATGTTTTTAAACAGTTTTTACTCATACAAAATACTACTCAAGTAGAACTCTCATATATTCAATTACTAGAACAGTATATTCTAGTACTAGTATATTCAATTGTTAGACAAGAACTTGTGACTTATAAAGACTTTTTTTTATTTTATTGAATCCTTCATCTTAATATAAGCAATTAATTCTACAGCCATAGCACAGGAAAATATCGTTCGGAAATCTCAGGATAAAATGATTTTTTAAATCTGTTGTGAAAAAAATGAAATTTAAAAAAAAACAATGTCCAGTTAATGAATAAAAATTTAAAGTTCATTAAAATCTTTTAAAATTTAAATTTGTCATCATCTTTTGGGTTTCATTTTTACGCATATGTTTCTTTATTAAAGTATTAATAATGTGACAGTAATAGTAGTAGTGGTTGGTAGTGGTAGTAGTAGTAGTGGTAGTAGTAGGCAATTGTAGTAGTGGTAAAAGTAATATAATAGTAACAATAGTAGTAGTAGTTATTGTCGTAGTAGTAGTGGTGGTGTTAATAATAGTAGCAGTAGTAGTAGCTGTAGTAGTAGTAATTGTAGTTGTCGTTGCAGTAGTAGTAGTAGTGATGGTGGTGGTAGTAGTAGTAGTAGTAGTAGTAGTAGTAGTAGTAGTAGTAATACAACTTTAGTTGCACTCACAATTAAGAAAGGGCGCGTCGGCTAATAAAAGATGCTGCGGTACATTACATCATCGTTTAACATATTTAGAAATTTTAGTAATGAAAGGAAACTCACGTACAAACAAACACACGCACACACACACACACACGTGTTTGTAATGTATGTAGCATGTTATCATATATATATATATATATATATATATATATATATATATATATATATATATATATATATATATATATATATATATATATATATATATATATATATATATATGTATATAATTGTCTCTGTGTGTGATACAGTACATAATTACTCAACTGATAGATAAATGGTGTGTCGGAGAGTGAAAAAAAATTAAAACGCACTTCGTTTGGGAGTCGTAAGAAGAGAACTTCATCGTTAACATCTGCTTAATGAGTTGCTACTGAATAGTCTTCAAATGTTAGTTTCCCTTGTTTTTTATTTGTCTTTAGATAACATTCGTAGTAGATACCAACAGTGAATTTTTTTGTTAAATTCTTTCGATTTGTGTTTAATAATTTTTTTGTATGAATAATTTGTTAAGTTTGTTAAAATATTCTACAGCAGGTGCCGATTAATTTTTCAATGTTAAATACAAATCAATTGCGAAATGATGGTAAATAGTTCGTGGATGGATTGAATTTAAATTTTTTTAAATCAACATAATTTATTTTCGGTTTCCAAGATGAGAAACCTGATTTCGGCGGCGTTGCTGCTGTTGATGGTTGTGAGTGGCACGTTCGCTGCAAGCGACACAACTGCTCCGGCTGCTCCTCCAAATGACTGGTACGTATCGGGATTTACTGGGTTAAACCCTCAAAATAAACCTTTATTTTTATAATATTTTTTATATTTTTTCAAAACATAAAATATCTATTTCGAGAAATTGTTTATTTCGACGTAGAAAACACAAATCCATTGAAATACGAACTGAACAGGCACTACACCATTCTGTCCCCTCGAACCATCCGACCATCATCCTCCTACACATTCACCGTCAACTTCAAAGCTCCACAGAACTCCAGCTCCAGAGAGGCCAAAGTGAGGGCCTCCATCGTCTACTGGTACTCCAACAAGGTCAATGAAACCAAGGTTATGGTCAGCAGAAATGTTTCCGTCAAATCAGGTTATTTAGTTCTTTAGTTCGTTTTTTGTGATTTTGTGTGGTACTGTTTTGCTTTCAATTTATTAGTCGTGTAATTAAAGTTTAAGACTTCTAAAATATGTTTTGATTTTTTTTTCAAGTTTGTCATTTAAAAAATAAATCATTGATGAGCAGTCGTCAGCTGCTCTCAAATATTCTTTAAAAACTAATAAACTGTCAAAAGATAATTATAAATACAAATTAATCATGAACATCTTGTAAAACATCAACTAAACAGGCGACCAGAAGTTGTTCTACATGCAGGTTGTTTGCCACATCATTCTTATAATTTATTAATTTTTGGCATTGAGCCTTTATGGCAATTAAAATTTATAATCCATAAATTGTCGGAAATATTTAAATAGCTACTGCGAGTGAATTGAATAAAAATAAACTTAAATTAATTATAAAAGAAAGTTAATTTCAACAAGTGAACACTTCAGATTCCCAACTCGAATGCCCTGCGCAACTACAAGTACAGCTTCAACTTCTCGGCCGAGGTGCAGTTCAACGGCAGGTCGTTCAACCACTCCAGCCATATAACTTCAAACAGGAAAATTATCTCCATCTTCATTCTGACTGACAAGAAACTCTACAAGCCAGGGCAACTAAGTAAACCTTTTAACCCATCTTTTTACCCAATTTCATAAATTGAAACGAATTAATGGATCAATTAAGCTGAACTTTATTATTTTGATCCGAATTTTTGAATGATTTATGTCTGAACAAAAATGGACCGATGTATTAATTTATTAGCAAAATTTAAATCAACGAAACTTTTCAAGGAAAAGCGGAAATTTTTGTATTCCAAAAGATAATAAATGTTACTTTACTGTTTTCTTCCAAAATGTCCTATTCATTATTTATTCACGTGTTTAGTGTTAGTAGTGTTATTATCATTTTTTTTTTACTGGCGAGAGATGCTGTAGCTACAATGCGATTGAATAATCAGGCTAATGTCACATGTGCAAAGTTCTAAGTTTAATTAGGTGAGTTTAAGTATGCTAACGCACACTAGCAGTTACTCACACACGCAATTATTTAACGACACAAAAACTCGAGATGCGCGTATGAAGTGTTTTGCTGAAGGAGTTGATGAATGTAGATATTAGGACTTTGTACATTCAACTCAAAGATGCACTTGCACGAATGAATGGATGAACTTGCCTATCCTGAATAATTCAGTAAAAGTTTCTTTAAAATTAGATGAACGTACAAGCAAATTAATATGAAGGTTCAAATAGAGTTATTTATTTATCAAATGTCATGAAAGTAAATTGAAATCACCATGTATTTTTACTTTGCATTTATTCCGTTGAAAATAAAATTAAAAACATTTTTTCGAAAATAATCATTTTTTATGACTGTTTCTACCAGTTCGCTACAGAGTAATTATCTTGGACAACAAATTGAAACCCTATCAGAAGCCATTTAATCTCACTATTGAAGTAATTACGATTTAATGTCTACTGTTGCTGTTATTATTGTTATTACTGTTATGGTTGTTATTATTGTTATACTGTAATTATTTGCTGTAAAAAACAGTTTTGATAAATACAGATGCTCACATGATTGCATGCAAATGCTTGTTCTACTTTTGTTGAAGTTTGGTTTAATTATGTAGTATTGCTATATAAGTTTATATAATGAATATCTTAACGACTATTACCAACAATGAAATTAATGAAAGTTATGTAAAAAGTTCTACCGCATTAATAAAAACAAATAAATCTCAAACCAATAATGTTTAGTAATGGAGAATGTTTTAAAAATGGCAAAACTGAAAAAATATTTTAAAAAAGTCTTTATCTGACCAATGAGCAGAGAAAATGTAAAAAATTGCCAAAGCGAAACAGAGCAATGACTCAGGGGAATTCGTATACTGGGTACGAGAAGATTCATCAAACTTAAATTCATAAAGATAAAGCGATATTAAAAACATCTAATGATGAAGAAAGTCAGGAGAAGAATGGGAAGATGGCGGATTGTCAATTTCAAGAGACTTCCGGTGACACATAATTTTCGGTGATGATATTGCAGGTGGTGTTTGAGGTCGAGGCTTGGTCAGTGGTTGTGGTCATGATGTTGGTTTTGGTAGTTATGCGGCTGGTGATAATGTGGCCGTTGAAGATGATCTTGGTGGTTATGGCGATATTTTTGGTTACAACAGTTATTATGGCGATATTTTTGGTTGTACTAATAATGATAGTCATGCTGCACACAAACTTAAGATGGATGATGTTAGTGAAAAAAAATTTAACAAAAAAGATACAAGATAATGATGGTACATATGACTGAATCATATGATCAGTATCTAAATAATATGTAGATAATGATGGTGGTCATAACAATATAAAAATCAGTCTGTTAAATGCCCGGTCTCATAAGCCAAAGGTTGATGCTGTCCATAGAGTCCATAGTTTGTTGCGTGATGATAATGTTGATATCCTGAGGCTTACCGAAACTTGGCATGGATCATAAGATGATATCTGATTTAAGCTTGCAAAGCCTTTAGGCTAGAGGAGAAATGCCTAAAATCTGCAAGCATGCTATTGTTACTCCTATTGTTTAATAATAAATAATAGTTGCATTGACCTGATTAGACAGAATGACCCACATCACGGTGAATGTGTTGTTTTTTACGGTTGTTTTTTATTCCGAAATTGCCTGAAGATTGTTATGTCATCACCCACTAAATCATGATCTCTTGATTCTATACCAACCAGGGTCTTCAAAAAATATCTTGATCACTATATTTGTCATTTGACGGGTTTGATAAACCTCTGTTTGGCTAGAGGAGAAATGCCTAAAATCTGCAAGCAAGCCATTGTTACTCCTATTGTTTAAGCTTTTACTTTTACTCATAGTTAAGCTTTTGATGAGTGACTACATCTAAAAAATGGAATATTTCTACATCATTCTTATTATCAAGAAATTAATTAAAAACCCGAACACAAAATTTATAACACGACCAATTTTTCACTCGCAAATTATATAAAACTATTTAAGTATTTAGTCAAAAAATGCTCGTATCAACTACGTCTGTAATGTCAAATTAAAGAAAGCCTTACCAAAAATGGTCTACGTTCGTTGGTGCAACACTGACTACATCCAGACTGGAATGCGATAATAGTCTCTTGTATGGAGTTTCAGGTAATTGGCGTAATAAATTAGACCAGGCGGCAAAATTAATCATGGATGGAATGAAATTTTATCACGCTTCTCCGATTTTGAAGTCTCTACACTGGTTTCCTGTCAAAGAAAAAATTTTATTAAAACTTGGAGATTTAGTTTTCAAATGTATGAACAATCTCGCAACTGAATACTTAGCTAATAAATGAAACGGAGCTCCAATGATTCGTCCTCCTCACAGTTTGTGGCCATCAAGCATAAACATTCCACATGTTAAGAAGATTAATTTAAAAACAGCTGGAAGAGAAATTGAAGTTGCTGGATCGACATTTTGGAACAGTTTGCCGTATGATCTTAAACAACCTGATTTGACACTTGCAGAATTTAAGAAGAAGTTGAAAACTTATATGTTCCAGAACTTTTTGCAAAGTAACCTTATGATAATGAGTAATGTGCGCCAATGTGAATTCTGAATTAATGCATTATTAGCACTAAGAAATAATAGATAACATATGCACGTATTATTGATGGTTAAAACCATAATTATTAAAATATAGACCAATCAATTTTACAGGATAAGAATGACAACTTGATCGTCCAGAAGATTAATCCAGGTCTTCATAAAGGTAGGTACCTGCATCTTTATGGAATGCCACCTGTTATTTTTCATTTTGATTTTTTTGGACATTTTTCAATCACCATAACTAAGACACTTTCAAACTGTTGTTAACATTTTAAAACAATTTAATATGTTGATAATTCACTATGATGAAACATAACTTAAGCACATAACAAATTCTACCGTTTTAACAAACTAGACTGCAAAATGTATGCATCTCATGTTTTAAACAAGAAAACGTTGGAGAAATTTTATTGAATCAACGATTTTATTACAAGCTTCAAATTTGACTTCAGAAATTTATTTTTTCAAGTGTTTGGATTAAAAACTTGAAAATTTAATGCTGATTGATAACAATAAAATAAGATTTGTTCGATTATTTTCGAATAATTTAACAGAGTAAAAGTGAAATACAATAATTCTGACTAGTTTAAACTGCTATGAAAAATGTTGGATAAAAAAATGCAGGCGTTTACAGCGGAGAACTTCAACTTTCCAAAGTTACTCCACTTGGCTTCTGGAAAATTAACGTCGAAACTAAGGTGATCTAAAATTAATTGTGTAAAATTTGATTGCATTAATCTTTTTCAAACAAACGAACATTTTTTAACAGGAAGAAGCACACTCTGAAACCATTGAAGTGGCTGAATATGGTGAGAGGACACAAATTAATATAGAATCAAACAAGGACCTTACATTTACGTAGAATCAAATTAAATAAAAAAAATTACATAATAAGTTAAGGGGTATAATACTTCATATTATTGGTTTCGGTCAAGAATATAGTTGTTTTCAATGTATAACCGAGATATTTATCAAATTCTGCTGATTTCTACCTCATTAAACGTGCAACTAAATTTTCAGTGCTGCCAAAATACGAAGTGAAAGTTGAACTGCCGAAAAGTTATTTGGTGTACGAGAGTGGCTATAACGATGACGTTCAGAATATTTCATCAAAACAGGAGGACTTGAGAGCAACAGTTACTGCAAAGTTTGTTAAAAATTTACTCGTAAATAACAACATTCTAGATAGCAGGTTGATTTTTAAAACGACAAACAGCAAATGGAAAACATACAAAAATATTCCAACTTAATTCAGATACACTTACGGTGAGCCAGTGAAAGGTGTTGCATTAATTTCGTTCAAACTGAGGGCAGTGAGGTACAAGAAGTCCGATCATATCCCATCCATCAACAAGATGATTCAGGTATCAAGGAATGTTTCTTTCATTTAAGATGTTTCATCTCAAACCAACTGATAATAAAACGTAGACCAAATTTGTTAAGCAATGGCAAAATTTGAACTGGTTTATAGAATTTTTATCTCATTTGGTTCGAATGTAATAGGAGTGTCCATAGTCATAGTTTTAATAATAGTTTTTTGTGAACCATTACACAAGTTTGGTCATAAAAATAAAATACCAATTATTTATTATTTTCAAAAAATTGTTGCGTGTTTCAATAACAATCTCTTACACTATTATTAAACACATTTTAACTATTGTTAAACACATTTTCCTTTGAATGATTTTATTTTAATGGATTTATTTTTAGTTAACTGACGGCAAAGCTGATGTGTCGGTTTCGTACAAGGATCTGTTGAACCTCTTCCCATGCTCTGATTCGTTTAACCGTCTCTTGTACCAGACCATAGAAGTAGAAGCTTTCATAACTGAGCAGGTTTCAGGCAAAGTTTTGCAAGCAAGCAGCTCGGTCGCATGCACCTCCCAGCGATACAACTTTCAGTTTTTCAGAACCTCCACCGCTTATAAACCTGGATTTCCCTTTGTTGCATACGTATGTAATTTTAGAATTGATTGAAAAACTTCAGCACTGAATAGCAAATTCATGAATAGTAAATTTAAATAGATCATTTGTACACTTCAACACCAGCTCAAGTTATCTCACAACGAGTTACCCAACCCCATGCTTAAAGACCTCAAATATTTCAACGGAACTTTCAAAAAAATTCCTGTTAGCGTTACCTTCCATGTTAGAAACTATTCATCATCGTTGGAGAAGAGCTACATGACCGAATTCAACGAACTTGGTGAGGCCGTCATTTCGCTTGATATCGACAAAAACATCAAAAGCCTATCCCTCAATGTATGTTCTGTTTTGTTAATAGTTTGTTTGAGTTAACATCCAACCAACTATTAAACGAATTGAAGGCCAAATATAAAGATGATGTTCTGGACACGTTTTTGTACGCTTCTCATTATGCTTCTGAGTTTGCAAACAGAGATAGAAAGTTCTTACAACTCTCCGCTAAAGTTCTTGACGATGTTTTAAAAGTTTGTTGTTAATTATTAAAAACCAAGTTTTGATAATTAATTTTTTATATAAAAATATATTTAAAAAATTTGCAGCCTGACAAAAACACAACATTCATCGTGCGAACCACTGAGCCAATAAAATACTTTTTCTATCAAGTAAACAGCTAACAGTTATTGCGAACGTTGCTTTCATTTGTTATCTATTTATTAAAAATGTTAACAAATTATGTTATTTTTGTTTCAAAATTATTTTACTTGTTGAATTTTTAAACTATATCAACTTTAAGTGAATCGTTCATCAGACTTCAATTTTAATATCAGTTTTTTGAACACTCAGATTCTGTCAAAAGGTTTTATAAGCCAAGCAAAAGTTGTGAAAAGTGACAAAGCTTCATCTCTGCACGAGTTTACGATAGTTCCCTCCAAACAACTTGCATTGGAACTGGCTCCTCGCGTCAAGATTCTTGCCTACTACGTTAACACCAAGGATGAAGTGGTGGCAGATGCAATGACTGTTAACGTCGAAGATTACCTCGTTAACAAGGTTGTGGGTGCTGTCGATAATTCATTTGAACTTTATCATTAAGACGTTGGAAACTTTAAAACTTGATCAGCTAACATTTAAATGATTTATTTCAACAAGTCTTTTAGTGAATTCTAACAAAATGTTGAAATGTGGAACTGCAATGCCTCCTTGGCAGTGTTCAAGTCATCGTGCAGTGCAAAGTTTGCGGTTTGCTGTTATATTACAGACCATGCTGACCTGCTTTTTTTTTACAAAGTTTGATGAACACATTGGGTTGTTGAGCATCAACTAAATAAGCTTGCAATAACCATTAACCATGCAACAAGTTTCAAATATGAAATGTTTAAAACTTTTCAAAAAGCCTCACACAAAATTGATTATAATTTTTAGAATGCATATTATTCCCTTATCATTTATTTAATTTCGAATTAAATATTTTCTGAAAAACAAAAAATTTTCAAATTAAGCCATTGATATAAATGTTAACGTTCAGCTCAGCATAGCATTTGATAAAAATTCCACGAGTCCCTCCAAGCCAATCGTTTTGAATGTGGAAGCTGAGAAAGATTCGTTCGTTGGCATCGCAGCCGTCGACAAAAGTGTCTTGTTGCTACATGCGCCTACACAATTATCCAAACTGGTTTGTCAGCTAAACTTAATGTTAAAATGCTCACTTAAAATGTTCACCAAACAACTGTTTGGTTAGTTTTTAAAATTTAGGATTTTTAAAATAATTCAGAAATATATGTTGGACTACACCTTAAATCCGTGCAGGACTATTATTAGATAAATGTAATAAATATATTTTTTTTGATAAATATAACTACAACATCAACATCAATTTTGATTAGGATGACATAAATGAAGGGCATTATGGTAAGATTGGTGAACATTATTAGCTACCTAAATGTTTAACCTGACTTTATTCCTTTAATGACGTTAAACAAGTCACCAAGGACATTGTTGTATTGTACATGTACAATCATTGACGCATTGATTTCTAAAGGTGTCAACAGAAATGAGCAAGTTCGGCTCTTCAAGTTCCTACTGGTACGACTATCGTGACGACGGCATCTACATCCCACCCGCACACTTCACTGACACCGATGAGTTATTCAATGTTCGTTTTGTCGACAGATTTTTGTAGTTTTCTGGAGTTTATTGTAAAATATTTTTTTCAAATGGTATCATAATAAATATTTCTCTGGAAAAACACCTTTGCAGAGCCTCAACTTAGTGACGTTCACGAGCAGTTTGATCTACAAATACAGGTATGTGCACGAAGAAGTCTTCGATTCTGCATCTGATTATGCTGAAGAAGCGCGTAAATATTCTTTCAATTGTTTGATGGAAGATTTGTCTTTCAATAATTATTTAAACAAGAACGACAAAAACACTTGTAAAGCGTTTTCATGCAATTAATTAGTTGTTATTTTCGTTTGATGAATTTAAAAACGTTAAATGCTTTTCAACCTTAAATTTTTTTTTATTGTTTGGTATGAAATGAATAACACTAACGACAAAATTAATTTGTTTATAGCCTCAATGTATTTAAAAATACTATTTAATTAAAGGTAATTATAGATATTTCATTAGTAATATTGTTTTATATATTTCTGTTGTTAATAAAATAAATAATGCAATAGCACTTCAATTTTAAAGTCGATTTCCATTCATGGTCGAACAAACATTCACACACAGCAGCACCCATGGCAGTTCGTGAAAGCTTCGCCGGTAAAAAGTCCTTGTCTAGTACGACGACACATGCCAGCCACTACAATCTCAACAGCAACAACAACAACATGGACAGCCCAACACCAAGGGAAGACTTTCCAGAAACATGGATCTGGAGTGATCTCACCGTCGAGTGATCTTTTTTTTTATCTCATATTAGAAATATTTTTTAATTCAAGAATATTTCATTTTCAATTTCGCCTTGACATTTTGTCTTTTAATTTATTCATTTAATAATTTTACAAGAATATTTTTTCATGTCAAAAATTTAAATATTTTGCAATGAAACTGTGTACCTGTAACGTACACATCTGTGAGTTAAGTAAACCATAATTCGATAGTGGTTGAAGCTTAAATAAATGATACTTAAAAAAATTTAATAGCGGTTGAATTGTTCACCTTAATTATTTTTTCTGCGGCTTAACGGCATTTCAGCACGATGCGGCTATTTTAACGCCCTTGGATCATTAGAAACAGATTATTTTGTTGTGACATCTAGGAAACTTCAAATTTTGTTGATCACCTAAATTAGAAAGATTTGATTCTTTCTCAGCGAAAACGGTCGACAGAAGTTGGAACTGAAGGTGCCAGATACGATCACCTCCTGGTCAGCCTCTGCGTTCGCCACTCACAGCCAGATGGGTCTTGGTGTGGTCGATGGTCCTGTTGAGGTTGGTTCTGGGCATCTGAAGTTTTTGAGTTTGAAATGTTTTTCAAGTGATATTGATAAATCTTTTTCTGTAAGTTTAGAAATTTAACTTTTAACTTGGTCTATCGTTGTTTGAAGGAAATGTTACCCACATTTATAATAATCTAAATTGATATTTTAAATATTACCATAAATAAACAGTTAATTTTTTAGAGGCATAATAAATGGTCAGCAGATTTAATTCAGAGAAATGTAGTTAAATAAAATAATTAGTTGCCACTTTTTTTATGATGGTTAATCAAGTCTTTTTAAAAATGATTCGTTGAATTTTTTTATTTACAAATTTTCTTTAAATTGATATATAAAATATGTGAATGAAATAATTTTTATCCAAAAAATGAATGTCTGATACAAATTCAGGTTAAAGTCGCAAAGCCACTGTTCGTTTCCTTAAACTTGCCTTACTCCATCACAAGAGGAGAAGAGTTTCCTCTGCAGGCAAATGTCTTCAACTATTTTGACCAGGATGTTGAGGTGAGAGGAGCGTGATCTCATTGTTTATCAACTTACGTCTGTTTGTGTGGCATTTTGGTTTGTCAAAAAATTGTTCGACATCATCAAAAAACTTAGATGGAGTTTTTTCAAGTGATTTTAAATTTAAATTTTTTTCTTTTTTAATTTTTTATTTTCTTTTATATGTTTTGAAATATCGTTCTTAAAACCGAGAGCAAATTATTTTAATTTGATAACATTTAGGTCGTTGTTAAATTGCCACAATCTGACTATTTCAAAACTCGAAGTTGTGACATTGATCTGAAGCAACTACAGTCTGTTAATCTTTCAAAAACAGTCAAAGTTCGTATTTCACTATAACAAAAAACAACGTTAACATAAACGAACATGACGAAAATGTACGGTTCAACGAATAAGCTTGAACAGTCAATGCATGGGGCAGTGACGAACGTACGTTGTTGATGATCGTGACAGATATCACGGAACAGCGCAGGCAGTGTCTACTTCTGGATCGTGCCCACCAAACTTGGACAGATTCCTCTGTTCGTCAGTGCTCATGCTGGTTTCGCTGCCGACGCTGTCAAAGAACTCATTCTTGTCAAAGTTTGTCTTTTTATTCTTTTAATAATATGTTTCTTTGTCAAAAAACTTATTCCTGTCAAAATTTGTCTTTTTAATATTAATAATTGTTCAATAATATGTTTGTCTAACTTTCTTTTTTATGTTTTTTGTTTTCACAATTCAACATTTTATACCTAACCTTTTGCTTTTTTAGCAAACCGATTGTTTAGTTTTATAAAATTGATTATTAAAAAAGATAAAAGTTTTATTACGTTAACATTAATTTATTTGTTTTTTTATTTAATTTATTGTTTTAAAATTGTCTTAGTTTTGAGAAGGCACAGGGACGTTTCGTCTTCGCCTTTGTTTAACGTAATAATAATAATTAATTAGTATGGTGACTAAGCTTCATAACTATAAAAATTTATGATGACATAAAACAAGCTATAGAATGAAAGCTGCAGAACTAAAAAAAATTGTAATGACCTAAAACAAGCTGTCGAATGATGTGCTTCAAACTGCATGATGAGAAGCTTGTTGCTGTTTTGTAACCTTCTAATCATTTTGTTGTATAACTAATTGATAATTTAATTTTTTTGTTTATGTGTCGAAAAGCTTCCAATTTAATTCATTGTTTATGTAACATAAGATATTTTATAATTTTTGGATATCGGCATATTTACTTTTGAGTTTGAGGCCAGTATGTTATGTCAATTCATGTCATGTCATATCGAGTCATGTCATGTCATCTGAATATCAATAAAAAATTATAAATTAGGTAAATGTAAACATACCCCTTACTAGCCCGAAGGTGTAGAGAAAAATTATGAGACGACTTCATTTTTCAAAACCTCCTTCACCGAACCTCAACAATTCACCACAAACATCAGTGTGCCAGATGACTACGTGGAAGGTTCTGCCGTCGTCGAGGTCTCCGCTATAGGTTAGTGATCGACATATCCAAATATCACATTGCTTAGTAATTGCTATGTTTATCGTTGAAAAGTTAATTTCCATTATTATTTTCTAATTGTAATTACATTTTGTCTTCAGTCGTTCATAGTTTTTTGTTACAAAAAGTCAACAAAGTATGTTCTGAAAATTTTTCATAATTCACATGAGAAAAAAAATTTTTGCCAAATATCTGCAGAACATTTATAAACAATAAATTTGATCAAATAACCAGGTGATATCTTGGCTCCGACTCTCAGAAACCTTGGAAACTTGGTGAGGTTTCCGAGCGGTTGTGGCGAGCAGAACATGGTGAACTTTGCTCCAAATGTGCACATTTTAAAATACATGAAGGCAGTTGATCAGTTAGATGAATTGAAAGAGAAGGAAATTTTGAATGGTCTTCAATCTGGTGAGTTTTTCAATTTTAAATACGCGTAGATGAGGATTGCATAACGCATCCTCATTTTTTGTTTCCTATCAAATGTTATAAACTACAATAACAGCAATGACAATAAAATAATGAAATAAAAAAAAACTTGAAATTGCAAAATTATCTCATTGAAAATGTTTCAAATTGATTGAAGGGTATCAAAGGCAGTTGACGTACAAACGAAACGATGGATCGTACAGCGCCTTTGGAAACGATGACGCCGCTGGAAGTGTGTGGTAAGTCTTCTGGCTTCTTTTCAAAAGTAATTAATAATTATATTTTATTTTAATTAACGTTACGTCTGCTTAGGATTGGGTATTAATTCAAAAGCCAATATTGGAACATTTGTATAATTTTAAACAGCAGTTTGGAAGTTGAACATTTTATAAGTGTGAAAGCCTAACACCAAACCTTTTTATTCAATTTGTTGAACTTTGCAAATGCTGAAATGATTATTTCAAATAAAATTGCAAATTTACAAAAAGGTTGAGCGCGTTTGTGTTGAAATCCTTCCGCCAAGCCCAGGCGTACATTCCAGTGACGAACGAAAGTTTGGTTGCAACTGTCAAGTGGCTCCTGAAGCACCAACATGTAGATGGATACTTCCTTGATCCTCCACTCTCCAGAATCATTCACTCCAAGATGCAGGTTGGCCGTTTTGCATCCATTTGGTTTATTAATTATTTTTATTGATATTAAATATTTTATACTACAATGCTCATAAGTAGGACGCAATGCATTTCTTCATATTGAATTACATTATATTATGAAATAAGCAACAACAACTTCTATCGCCCCAACAAAAAGTTTTAATTGAGGCAACACGCACACATCGTATGACAATAATTAGAATTATATGAATCATGCATCTCTGTTGTATGTAAACTGTACAATTCAAATTCACGGAGTTTTCTAAACCGAATTCAATCGCTGTAACACAGGACTGTGCGACTCAGCGCTTCTAGTTGCAAGACCATCTCGCAACACATTTCTATATATAATTGAATTCTTTTTGTATATAACTTCAAAGTAGCTAACGACAAAAAGTCTGAAAATTTTTATTTGAAATTTGCAGGGAGGAGCTAATTCACGAATAAGCGTAACCGCTTACACTTTGATTGCTCTGCACGAAAACAAAGCCCTGCATGCGGTGAGTCATTTATCTTGGTGGCATGATACATGGTGGTTGTTGTTTCCTTGTGATTTGTTTCAGCGCCTTTGAGATTTGAAGAAAGGGCGCTATATAAATCTACCTAATAATAATAATATATTATGTTTTTACATTTTTAAACTAATTCCAAAAACTCAGAGTAAAGTTAATGTCAGAAGTAGCATTAGGAAGGCTACACAGTATTTAGAGAGGGAGTTTGTGCATTACAACGATGATCCATACGTTCTTGGGATCGTGGCTTATGCATTCTACTGCGTTGGAAGTAGCAAGATGGAGCGAGTCCTCAACAAACTCTACAGCTTTGCCATAACTGAAGGTTATTTAAACTCTTTTGAAAAGTTTCAATGAATTAACTTGCGATTGATTATTACAACTCATCAGTCAAAAACAAATTATTAATTTTTGGCATTTAATTAATGAATTCGCAAATTGAAAACAACTTAAAATCGGATTAAATTAACCTGAAAAGCACCTAAATTATTTTTTTAAATAATGGTTACATTTTTTTTTAAATTGAATTTTAGAACATGGACTGTAAAAATTTTACAGATGAAAAAACCCACTGGAAGCAGCCGATGCCGCACGATCAGGAGGAAGATGCCTGGTTGTTGAAGGAGTTTGCAAGCCCCTACGACATCGAGTTGACCTCCTACGTGCTCCTCTTGCGGGCCAGTCAGAAAAATTTGAACCTCTCCCTGCCCATTGCCAGGTGGCTCATCGGACAGATGAGTGGCATTGGAGGATTTGTCTCGACACAGGTCAATATTTTAATTTTATATTTTTGATTGTATTGTTTTTTGATATTTTTAATTTGTTTTACTAACCACTGAATTATGGAAATTTTTCTTATCATCAATTTTTTAATGTGCTTTCATAGTAAGATATTCAAATTTTCTGGGCAAATTTTCATGATAAGCTTTAAGATTTTTATTTTTTTTGTCCAGTATATTTAAAAATAACATACAAATAAATTAGATTTTAAATTTCTTGCATGTTTCATGTTGAACGGTTAAAATAATATGTATGCTTTCCAGTAACATAATTTATATTTCACACACACGTCTTAAGGACACCGTGTTGGCTCTGGAAGCTCTGACGAAGTTCGCTCCTCTTGTTGCATTCAAGGATGACAGCGAAGGTATAAAAATCAAAATTCTCGGAGAGTATGGTGAGAAGCACAAACTGGCCACCATCAACAAAGACAACCTACTTGTCCTGCAAACTGTTCAAGTTCGTTGAATGAATATGGCAACCATGTTTCACCATTTTTTTATATCAGATTAATAAAATAGAACGATCATTAATATAAATTAGATATACTCGGTAATTAGGTATACTTTTGTTTAATTTGTTATGATACACATTAATAAAATCTTTTTTATAATAAATCTACAAATTATACTTAGGTATGATTTTGTAACGTTAAAGTTTGGTCTATATCTATGACTTCTATTTCTGCAAAATTTTGAACGTTCTCCCATTATAAAACGGTAGCATCAGTTTTATCCAAGTTTAAAAAAGTTATTTATTTGCGTATTTTTTTATATTTCAAAAATAAATAAAACAAATCTTAACAGTTGAATGACAAAACGAGAAAAATACTTGCTTTTGCTGAAGGTGATGGATTTGCTCTGCTGCAGGTTGGTTCAGCAATTCAAGTGACACGTAAAAATCTGTAAATAATTATTTATGTAATTTTTTTTTAGACATTTATTAAAGTATTTTCTCTGAAAAAATGTAGACTTCGGTCAGGTACAGCAGACTGAATCTGACCAACAGCAAGTTCTTACGTCTCGATGTGAGTGCCGAAACACATGAACATTATCTCAATTTAACTGTATCTACCAGGCAAGTTCACCCACGGCTCATATCATTCGAAGCCTTTTATTTGTTAAGATTTTTATTTGTTTTCTGTTCTTTCCTCGCCAAAACAACACACAAACAAATGTATAAATTATGTATAAAACAGCTGGATTGGAGAAGAGCAGAGTGGTATGGTACTCCTGGAGATCAACTTACCAACTGGATTTGCATTGAAAGATCAGGACGAGTTCAAACAAAAACTGAAGTTGACAGACTTCAGAAATCTTGAAATTACTCCACAGAAGATTGTGATCTACTTGTCTGAGGTAAGGGTTAGGGTTAGGGTTAACAATATATTGTACCAGCTAAATTAAACGAAACATTTACTTTATCCAACATTATAAAAATATATTTTGTATCGAACCAGATTAAAGCAATAGCTTGCACTTTTCAAAATTCACACTCTATAAAGCCTAGTTAATCATTCATCATTCAGTTGAATCACTCAGCCACTGAATTCAACACGACTCTCGAACAATTACTTGCGGTCCACGATGTGAAACCAGCCCTAGTGCAAGTGTACAGATACTATCAGCCAAGTAATGTTTTTCATTTCATAAATCGCTCAAGTGTCCATTTAGAACGGTGTTTTCCTGTGCAAAAACTGAGTTTTAATAATAATACTGCCCATAACGAGGGTGACATTCCCTCCTTCATAAACACCACTCTCTTCAGTGTATTACAAGCTACTGTAAAGTATAAATTGATAATGTTACGATTTTCCGTTGTTTTTAATAGGTGGCACAGCAAAATTGCAATCTTCCACTAAGATTATTTAAATGGCAAAAGATTCGTATCATATATATTCATTATGTTGAAAATTGATCTATCAATAGTTTAAAACATCATTGCCAAATAAGAAAATTAATTTTACAGATGAAAAAGTTTCTGCATTTTATTCGCCTGAGGGGAAGAAAAGTTGGGTGTCATCATGTCCGCAGTGCTGCGGTACGTTTCAATAACTTTTTAGTGCTAAATAAAAAAATTATTTTTTAATATTTTTTTACGTGATTAGTCAATTTTAATACATTTAATTTTTAGCGACATCTTTTAATATTAATAATTAATATCCATATTTTAAACATTTCGCATTCATTTCAGAATAATATGAACCGTCTGACAATCGATTGCTTGGATCGTTCACAAATTCATTCGTTTACTCTCGATTTTGAACGCTCTAATTTTCGGCACCTTAATTTTTTGAAGATTTAACTTTTAGAAATGAATAATCAGCCTCAAATTAACATGGCTTTTGTTGGCTACTGTAGTGTATCTTATACCAGCGGTTTCTGTGTTCAATTCATAATACGTGCACGAAAAATTATTTTCAAATTGAATTTTAAGTAATTTAAAACGATAAACATTAAATTAATATATAAATTTATCACAAATTTTAAAATAAGCAAGCCAAAATTTAATAAATGGATGTCTGAAAATATTTCACGGAAGCAATTTTAAGCAATCAATTTTTATTGGAATAAAATATAATATATAAACATAATGGAATATAATATCATAATTTATGAATACAATAAATCATAATATATAGCTGCAAGGGTGTACACTTGAAATTCAAATTTTCAAGAGTAAAGAAAACGCGTGATAAAACTGTTAACGATAACAAAACATCATACATAAGAAATGAGATACACCAGAAATATTTTCAAATTGAATTTTAAGTAATTTAAAACAATAAACATTAAATTAATATAAAAATTAATCACAAATTATAAAAAAAGCAAGCCAAAATTTCAGTAAATGGATGTCTGAAAATATTTCACCGAAGCGATTTTAAGAAATCAACTTTTTAATGGAATAAAATATAATATATAAACATAATGGGATATAATATATTAAAATATATGAAAACAATAGATATACAATTCAAATTATAAATTTCAAGTGTAAAGAATACGTGTGATAAAACTGTTAACGATAACAAAACATTACACATGAGAAATGGGATACACCACAAACCGGTTTTTAGGAATGGAATTAAGTATAGGTACGAGCTCGGTCAGACCAAAATAAAAAAAATTGCTTGATTGGGCCGAAATTGTGGTGGTTGCAAAAGTTCTGTTGAATTGCATTTTATGGTACACCGCTTGTCAAAAACTGATTAAATTATTATTAATTAATTTAGTAAAACATTTCTTAAACAGTATGAACATTTTTAAACAAATCTTCATAACACATTTTATCGTTAAAATAATGAAGCTGGTTAACGGGACAGGCCGGTCGATCCAACCATTTTGGCCAAGTCATGGTGTGGTCGAGTAAAAATATATAGTACAGCCTTAATACGATTGAGTACATCATCATGCTTTCGAGTTGATGTTGAGATAGTTGGTACTGAATGGTTGGTGGTTGTCGTAGTTGGTTGGTTGGTGGTTGACATGTTGTTGTTGTTCTGTATTGGTTCGACGACTCGAGATGACTGGATTCTATCATTCTATGTTCCTATGTTTATTATTAGTTAACGATGGTTATTATTACGATGTTGGATGTGTGAGTATGGGTGTGTGTTTATGTGTTTAGTGTTTAAATAGTATGCGGTGTAGTGGTTTGTTGATTGTGTATGCTTGTAGGATGTCGTTGTGGTTTTGGATAAATCCATGTAGGATTAGAGTGGTGATGATTTCTTCGTAGAATGAGTTAAGTTGTCTGTTGTATGGTCGAACGATTATGAATTTGTTGTTGTTGTTTTTGTTTCCGGTTTGACGAATGTCTTCGTCGTTGTTGTTCTGGTTGTCGTTGTTGTTCTTCTCCTTGGCGTCTTGGTTGTTTGTCATCTCATTTGTAATGTTGTTATCAGATTCTGTTGTGCTATTGTTATTGTAAGTGTTGGTATTGTTGCTATTGTTGTTGTTGTGGTTATCTGATTCTGCGGTGTCGTTATAGTTATAGGTGTTGCTATTGGTTGGGTCGTTATAGTTGGTGAGAATTTCGTTGATGAAGGTGTTGTAGATGGTTTGTTCGTTATCTTCTACATCTTCTTCATTGTCGCATGTGATGTTAGAAGTTTGTGTGTCGGTGTCGTCGTCAGTAGTTGTGTTGGTGTTCATGTTTTCATTGTTCGGGTTGTTGTTGTTGCTGTTGGGTTTTGGTGAGATCTTTGTGTATTGCCCTGCGATGGCTTTGAAATGTTTTTTGAGTTTTTGGTAGTTATATCCTCTTTGCTTGAGTCTGTTGATAAGTTTGAAGCTACTCTCTTTGAAGTCAATGAACAGTGATGAGATAGATGCGTAGCGTTTGATTTGTAATGTGACGATTGATTTGAAGGTGTGTGGTGGATGGTGTGAGTTGTGCTGTAGTAGATCGAAGGTGTTGGTTTGTTTGAAGAAATGGTTTTGAATGTAAAAGGGTGAGTGTGGGAT